CGTCACAAGTGGTACAAAGAGCACGACCATTAATGACGCATATATGCGTAGTTGGTATTCAAAGGGTTATTAGTTAGTTTTTAAATAAGGACCTTAAGGCAGGTAAAGGTTTGTAGTCCGGAGGAATCCGGCCGAATTGTGGCTCATGAAAACGTGCACCTTTCCAATGGAAATTACGAAACAATGAGCTTAAAGCTTGCTGATGAAAATGCGAAATGCTGAGGTGAATTTGAAAGGAGCCACAGTTATTTACGTCTTGCAGCAGCAGCAGCAAGATTGCCCGAACTAGCGTAAAAGTTAGAAAGACTAAACTGGTCCCACTGTTTCTACTCCGAGCACACAAGAGAATATCTGAGAAAGCTTTGAACTGACCAGTCGTCGGTTCATTTCGCTGAGGTGTTGTTTGAGCCACTGGGCATTTTTAGTGGGGCTGGGATGGAGATTTTGGTCTCGTTCTGGTTTGCGCGCGGCCAGAATGCGGAAAAACCTATGCCGAGCTTCCGGCCAGCTGTGAGCGCAGTGCGTCCAGCAACCACAGGGTGCACACAATCTTGTTGAGTAGGAAATAAGGGATTGAAAATATTGAATTGTTTACCTTTTGTCTTCTGTTGTCATCCTTAAACGGAAAACCGCTATCTACATGTCCTATGTAACACTGAAAGGCTAAATTCGTACCTAGGCCTTTTAGCGTTGTGCAAAATTTCTTCGGTTTACATAACTGTTTACATATAGTTTTGACAAAGGAGGCAACTCTTTGCCCAAATATTTTGAACGTAATCCAAAAATTCGCCCGAGTCTCTAAATTTCGCAGCTTCCACGAAACCAAACAAACACAAGACGTACGAAGTCGAAAGATTATTTTTACAACTTGGCCGAATTGGTTTTCGAATACTTTTACGACAGTCGGAGAATTTTAGCGTCTTTTGCAAAGTTTTTCCTCAAATCGCTTTTCGCAACATGATCGTACCCGGGTACCCTAATCCCAACCACTTTATCCAGCGCGTGCTCGAGCTCCTCTCCCTCTCCCACGCTTTGTTTTTTGACTACTTTGAAATAATCCTTCAAACGCGAAAGCGACCTAAAATGATGAGACGTTCGCTGTATTCACAGGCTATTAATTAATCTCTTGGGAGGGGTTTGTAAAGATTCCTCGTGTCAAAAAAGCATGTGTAGGAGAGGGAGGGGAGCTCAAGCGCGCTCTGGATGACGCGTATGGGATTGGGGCGGCATTTCGAACGTAATTTTCGGATTACATTCAAAATGTTTGAGCAAATAGTTGCCTCCCTTGTCAATATTATATGTAAACAGTTAAGTAAACCGAAAAAAAAATTACACAGCGCTAAAAGGCCTAGATACGAGTTAAGCGCCACAGTGTTACGGAGGACATGTAGGTAGCGGCTTTCCCTATAAGGATGACAACATGAGACAAAAGGTAAACAGTTCGTTCTTTTCAACCCTTTATTTACTCTCATCTTACTCGACAAGATTGTGTGTTCCCTGTGCAGCAACGAGCACCAGCGCTTTGCACCGTCCCTCGGACGTCCAAGTATTTAGACGCGAAAAATAAGAAAGGTTTGCTGGACACACCTGGTTCTTCTGGCTAAGCGAATTATCGAAAGGCAATATTTTTACAATATTTGCATCACCGGTAGCAGAGGAGAACGCCTACACCAAGGAGAATTGAAATCCAGGCCGAAAAACTAGAAAACAGTCATCCTGTGAAAACACTGGACTATTACAGGCAAATATGTTTGAAATCCATTGACTCGATTGCTCCTGCTTTTGATTTGCTTCATTTGTTGATTTCCTTTTTGATTGTCTACCGTTCCTCCTTTTCCCGCCCCATTTGGGTATTTACGTTACGGGTATTTACTTTTCGGCAAAATTATTGCTGATTAGTCTCGTGAAGTTAATATGTCATTGTTAATTGCTCCTGGATTGTTGAAAGTAGTTATCCACCCATGCAGGTCTCTGCTTACCGGGTGTTCTAAATTTAGCTTGCGTCGGTAGCAGGTTTAAAGCGGTGGAGACCGGGAGGGAGCGCGTAAGAAAGGAGGGGCTAAGGCTACTGTCTCAACCAGTCTTGTTGCCAAATAAGGAGAAAGTAGACTGCCACCTCTTGAGTTGCTGTTTCTTGGCTAGCCTGCGAACGCAGACGTATTTCCGGCTATCGCTTGTCTCCGCCGAAAATAACGTCTGCGAACCCGAGCCAGGAAACGATTTCTGTGACGTAATGACTTTTGTTTCTCCTTGGCCGATTAGATTCCATGATAGAATAAAACTCGAGTGCTCCTCGTAGCAAATACCTCGCGAAGTAGTTCTGGGGCTACTTGAGCTAAACTGTGATTGGCTTAAAATTCCTACGTCACAGAAATCGTTTCCTGGCTCGGGTTCGCAGACGTTATTTTCGGCGGAGACAAGCGACAGCCAGAAACACGTCTGCGTTCGCAGGCTATTTCTTGGCGTTCTTTAGCTTCTTTGTCAGGCACTAGTAATGATCCGCTTGATGAATCTGAAAATCAATTAGACCCGAATAACGAAGTTAAACCATATCACCATAGTTTTGAATTGGAACTTTAAATAACCGCTATACCGAATTAAATTAATGCACAAGCAAAAATCGCCACTTCCTTCTTGGTAGTGAATCAGACGCCATGGAAATTTTTCTTCAATGGTCCGCTAGCAAACGTGGGTGCGTTTCTTTAAGAAAATCCGAGATTGGATTCTTAAATCCGAAAACGGGTTTTGTGTTTCTTTACTAAACAGATCAATCCAAGATCACTCGGATCATGGTGCATCAAGAAATCGAAGAAGCCTTGCCCATAGTGGATTCTTCGGTTCCTTTGACGCGCCATGATCCGAGTGATCTTGAATTGATCTGTTTAGAAAAGATATCAAATATCACTGACCAAAAAACAAAAAAAACAAAAACAAAAACAAAAAAACAAAAACAAAAAAAAAAAAAAAA